CCCCCCCCCCCCCCCCCCCCCCAATTCCAGGAAGTTCTTGACCAGTTATGATAAGGAAAGCATTTTCACCATGGACCACTTCCCCCTTTGGTATCGCCGAGCAGCTGAACATCCTCCGGGGAGCTTCATTTATAGCCTTTCTTTTGAAGAAGCTTCAGGTAACTGCACTGAATGAATGTGCCTTAAAACCACTGATGCTCAGCCAGTCAGAAGACAGCTTTTCAGTAGAAGGGAAATATGAGATACTTAAAATCTTTTCAGTCCTTGTTCCAACCAACCAATCGATGGCAGGGCCTGCCACCATCTCTAATTTTCCACGAGTACAGTCCACAACTGATTTGTGCTGATCTTTTTATAGCCAAAAGAGTGCCACCCATGTTCAATATGCAGCTTTCTGCATGTTCAAGGATATCCCAATGCTTGTAGAGATATAAAGGTATTTAGGGAAAAATATAATTGGGAGAGGAGGCCAAAATCAACACCCTGAAAACTGAGCAGGCACAGTGGTCATAGAATGCCAAGTACTTCTTGGGGGGAACTGAGGAAGAGGGTAAGAGAGGAAACAGGATAGTATTGCTGGCTTGTAACCTGAACCTGACCAGTCCTTATTGTAATATTTTGTTTCTGCATAGGCTTGTAACCTATCAAAAATAGATTGGTGAAATAGCAGCAGTGTTCTTTAACATCAAATGTGTTCAGTGATGGGGCCATTTTAGACCTTTATTTTAGGGGATTCATGGTGATCATCTCTGTCCCCAAGTGCTATCTGTACATTTGAAAGTCTGCATGAACCTTACACATGTAGAGTTGTACAAATTTAGGATTTAATGTATATGGTCAGGAATCTTTAAAAAGCATCTTATCTACATGCAGGCATTCAAAGAAGACTGCACTGTCAAAAGCAGAAACATTTCTGACTTTAATAAACCTGGGTTGTGTGGGAAGACAAAAGCAGCAGGATCAAATTGAGTGGGCATCCTAGATCAGGAAGCTGTCCGGCATAATCCAAGCTGTAGGAGCAAGCACAGAAGGATGAAGGAGCAAGCACATGGAGGATTAGAACAACTGAGGAACTGAGTTTTTAGAGTTCAGCAAAAGAAACATTTCCACCAATGTGTTATGCCTGCAACTCTTGGAAGAGGCTGAGTAGCTGTAACTTGAATTTAAGTGACCTTTTTCTTCCAGGAGTTCAGAAGCATACATACTATCATATGCCCATTCTGCCCAAATCGGTTGCAAAACATTCCAGTGAAAGTCTTTATTTTAAACTCATTATTGCTTCTACTCCCTTTTAGTCTTCATATTATTAGCAAAAGTTCAAATCTGGGACAGAGAAGTTTTAGTATGTACTTGGTCCCTCAGTATCACATCTCTCTAAAGTTAGATGCTTTAGGCTGTTCCTCGGGGTGCGTTGATGTCTCATGATCCTAGTCATGAGAGTGTCTTTCTTGCATAAAGGCACAGGTCCTTCCTGATAAAAACAGAATATACAATCCTGCTCCCCTGAGCAAATTTCATTGAATGCTTAAAAGATGGTACTGCTTTGTGCCATTTGAAGGCATACCAAGACAGGGCAAAAGGAGAATGGAAGTTTTGGAACGTGCTTATGAAGGATTTAGAACCTTGTGTAGACTAAGGATGCCCTTATCAGGTTCATCAAGAATAGATCTGGCTCAAGCAAGGCCCTTGGATTATGAATATGGTTCAATCAGAGTTTGCCTGGCTAAATTTTCAAGCACCAAATCTTCTCCACTGTTTTTTGTTTTCACATACTCAGCCCATGTTGACAAACTTACTTGTGGCAGGAGAAAGATGGATGGCAGTATCACAAGTGATGATGACATCCATTTCATATTCAGGGAAGGGACTTGAACTATACACCCCAACGTTACACTATTCATGTTAATATTTGCCTCTCCTCTCCTGCCTAAAGTAAGGTTTATAAGCACTGAAGTTGTCTGGAAGATATCATGGATGTAGTAGCAGCCACTTCAAACACTTGTGTTTTATGTGCACTTGGAGTCCATGCAAAACATTGAACCCCTTTTTATAAAGGAAGGTTGCAGGCAAAAGCATATCCATCCATGGTGCAGGCAGGTTTTATGAATATGCCTTAGCTGATTTTCACACACTGTAATATCATATTTGCCCAATGGTCTACACATGCATGTTCTGACCCACCCATGTGTTTATAATACTGGGCTCTCTATCCTACAAAAAGAGAAGACATAAATAATCTCCAAAAGAACTACAGATTATGTCAAAACAGTTTATGCAGACACTGAGGGGTGTGGAGACCTTGGATATCATGAAGGCTAAAATCATTAAGGAATGATTTTACACATTTCTTATCTCATCAGGACAGCTGTATGCATGAAGGTTGTCTGAATTTTCACAGGGATTCTGTGTTTGCATATCCTGAGAGAAGATTGGAAAAGCAGAGAAAGAGAAGAGCTATAGTCTGATCTATTATTAATAACTGCAATAATTTGAGTAGTGGTCACCGTGTTGCCTAGGTGAGGGAATTTTACTGCCTTGTTTGTTGAGCATAGTTGATTTTTCACAGTTTTGCTAACCAATCAGGGAGTGCCCATTTCTTTTTTTTAACAGTATTTTTATTAAAAACTACAATGGCAATTGCAATAGTTGAAACGCAATTAGCAAGCAATTTCTGAAACTGATTAGAAAAAGAAGTATACAATCTCAGTGTCCTTTGAAAAGGTGCTGACTGCAGTTTGAGGGAAAAGATGGCTTTCCCTCATCTTCCAGAGCTCTAAACCTGCCAGAGACCACTGTCTTGCAGTGTCCTTGTTAGGAGCAACTGTCTGGAGCACTTGTGGGTGATCTCAAGTCCTCTCCTTGTCCAGAGAGGAATTACAAAGATCTGGTCTACTCGCAGGTTCTTCGATCCACTGCGGTTATTGGCTCCACCATTTCTTCCCCAAAAGTCCAGGGAGTGCCCATTTTAGCACATTTGATTAAACTGGAGCTGTGCATCACTACATCTTACCCTTTGCCATGGCAGTGTAGTACTGTATGTTTGCTTACAGTGAAAAATGATCCACAGACTGACCCTGTAAGGCAGCCAAGGCTGGTCTGGTGCAAAAATACTCTTAAGGATAATTTGTGCCGCATGCCTTCATTAATCACACAGGCATAAGCACAGCTCTCTAGACCCAAGACAACCTCTCAGATCAGCTCCTCATCCCAATATTAGTCATCATTTAAAGATCTAGCAGCTACATTCAGGGGAGTCCTCCTGTTCTGGTGCCCAGGGCTTGCGCAGACAAGCCATTATCAGATGACTCAAGGCACACTGTTGGAGGTAGAGTAGTAACAAGTTGCATCGGTACTTAGGGCAGGGTTTCTCAACCTTGGCAACTTTATGATGCATGGACTTCAACTCCCAGAATTCCCCAGCCACCCATGCTGGCTGGGGGATTCTGGGAGTTGAAGTCCACATGTCTTAATTGCCATGGTTGAGAAACAGTGACTTAGGGCTATCAAATCTAGGCTTCTAGAGAACTACTAGATAGCAACAAAGATGTAGAGTCTTCTGCGTCTCTTTTCTGCTATCTAGTGGTTGCCCTAGTCAATATGAAGTGAAGTTAGATGCCTCAGTCTGCTTCTGTTTGCTGTTCTGCCTCCACCTTCATGACACCCTAGGCAAATATTTTGGTTCTTCTATGTGTGCCTGCCCTCCCTACAGCAGACCATGAACAGGTTTGGGTTTTTTAAAGGTTGAAGATCTGGCCTGGGCTCCCCTGCTTGCATTTATAACACTGCACCCAGCAGGAGTTTTACAAATGCATTGAGGGATGGACGGAGGAGGGGAAGGCTACTCCAGACTTTGTGAAGAGGAACTTCTCTTCACAACTGTTGAGCTGTGTTTCCTCAAGGTTGCACATGGAAGAAAACCTCCCCTTCTCCAATTTAGAGCTGATATTCAGCGTATGATATGTAGGGTATGCATTGAAAGAACGATAGATCAATGGGGTCACTCCAGTAATTTTAGACTTGAGACTGTAGAATCTTGGAAAGCCTTATGTTCATAAAGGGTTATTTTTCTAGAAACACTGGATATCGACATTCTTGATAAATAAGGAACTAAAAAATAGTGAGCGAAAAACTTACAAAAAGTCTGGAAAGTATGTGGTGGTTAAGGATGAATCTAAAGTTTTTGTTTCGGCTCTCTTTTTCAACCTGCTTGCACTCAAGCGCTGTGATGATGGTGCATAATTTGCTAACTGTGAATCTTTTTTTGGCATCGTGGTGGGAAGAAGGGTGGGTGGAGAAGACAACAACAAGGAAAGCAAGATTGGGGAGCAAAGAAGGTGAACAGGAAAATTAAAGCTCATGCAGGATTGAGTGGAAATACCTGAACTTTCTCTCACTCTTCAGTTTCCTTTTCATTTAACTCTAGCAGCTAGCAGCTTATTATTACCTGAACTGATCAGACCAGTCAAGCTGTGTTCTAGGACTCCTGAGACTGAAAGCTGAAAAACCCTAGGCCTTGAATCAAGGTTTAGTGAAGTGCCTCCTCAAGATGGCTCCACAAAGTGACACCACTTTGCAGAGCCCTAGTAGACAGAAGTGGCCAAACCAAGATTGCTGACCTTACTTCACACCTGATCTGTCATATTCTGCTAGTTTGGAGTGCTACCTCTCAGATTTCATACTGGCCAGTTAATTCTGCCAAATTATATCCCCTTATCATTCTCATTTGACTCTATTCCTGGCCGGTATCTTTGAAATTAAAAGTTGCCAATTCCATCAATAACTGTGGCCCTGTTCCTCAGGAATAGAAGGAAACACTTTTTTTCTCCCTCTACCTCCCTCCTGTCCATAATATGGCAGTTTGTGGTTGTCCATTAATTTTATAACCTGTTGGCTGGTTATTTTCAACACCCACCCACCTCCTGTAGCACTTTGTGATAATGATACAAACACCTCTAAAATTAATCTGCCAACACCCTAATGTATTATCTTGGACAGGTCTTTCAGGAAGAAGCGGTGCTTGATAATACCAGGATGCTGATGGGAAATGCCCCCATTTGATCTCCTCTTATAGGTCACTGTCTATCCCTTTTCTTTCTATCTCCCTTGCTCCTGTCTACTGCTTTAGCTTCTTCCTTCCCGTGACGTCTTACCAATTTCATCTTCCTCTAATTCTAATAATATATGGAATTGCTCCATTGCTGTAACAAGAAAGATATATATGATCATGGATCTCACCAAGGGTCTATCTTGAGACTCACAGAATACCCCACAACATCTGCTAGGATCCAGAGTGATATACCACAGAAAGTATAGCATGGGAGCTGGGTGGTTGCACAGTCAGCCAGATGTTTAGACTGGATTTGGCA